TAACAACACACTTTATTTTCAATTTGCTCTACAAAGTCTATAAGACTCTTTATTGGTTTTACTGGAATCATTGCATACATTTACTCGACTATCATTTTCAAATAACTTTTAGTCATCTTATTGACATTAACCGATGTAAATCTGTTTATATACAATTGTGGCAATCAATTTATTACCTCCCTTTTCCAAGTGGATTCTGACTCGCAAACAGTCTAAATGTCGGTGGACATATTACTTCCATATTGATCTGTGGTATATATACGGCCGCTCGGTGATTCAACAACGAACCAAAACTTTCTAAAACATTTTTTGACGCCAAGTAGAGTTCATTAAGTTACACCCATGATCCACTTTTATTGTTCTCAGTAACAATTTCCACCATCCAAATCTTCCACTATTTTTTTCAAGTGAAAGATATGCGACAAGTAAATAGCTAATGTCTATGTGTCGAGACAGATTGATTCTAAACAATGGAAAGTTTAACATTGATGACAGTATATCTATTTATGTAATCTTTTTAACTCCAAGAGATTTTGTCATTAATATCAATTTATGGAGTACCAACACTCTCAAAAAATGAAATATGTTGTTAGTAGTAATTGGTGTATTCACACTGTAATTATCTTGTTTTTGAATTAAACTATTTGATATGAAAGTGAAGTTTGATACACTATTGTTGTTTGGTCCAACACTCAAAGTTGGTTGCATGGACATCTCTTAAACTTTAGAGTCTTTCAATTTCTCTTCAATAGTCACCAATGCTTCATTTAATACAATCAAACACTTTGTATTTGTTTTCCCGACTTCATTTTTTACACCATCAATCACCATCAAATGAGTTGTATGAATGAATCGAACAAAAGGCGATGGTATACTTTTTTAACAGTTCATAAAATCAGTTTACGCTAAAAAAATTTTGACTGACACTTTCTTCCCAAATTTCTCCTCCGTTCACATCAAGAACTTGACTATAGCAGCCGCAAACTTTCTATCTGTTGGTTCATTGATCTTCTGTTGGACTATCAGTAACAAGTCTCCTTTTTCTTCAAACAACTTGACTCTAGATCTCTGTAAATCGATTTTTCATGGCAGTACTTAACTCTCTTTTACCAAATCTCCACCAAGTTCAAATATTTTGAAAGTATTATTCGCAACAATTTCCTTTATCTCTGATGACATATTCTCTGCAATAATCATCATTCTTGTAAATTCGAACACTGTATTTATTCTTTCCAAAACAGACTTTTCCGCCATTAATTTCATTGCTTCAATCAATAGTATTTGTTTAGTTTAAATAATATTTTATACCTTTTTAATAAACTCTCTATGTCTTCCACTTTATTCTTTTAGTAACTCTTATAATTCTTTTGGTTAATTATTAACAACTTTTGTAATGTTCCTGTCGTTTTTAACAACATTTCCAACAATTTGTCTAACTTAAAAATCGTTTGATCTTTATTTCGAGCCGGTTGCATACCTTTAATGAAATCAGCAGTTTCCGTGTGTTGGTGGCAGTTCATTATTCTCAGTCAATTATACAATACTTTCGCTAAAATATGGCACAATGTTTTCTATTTTTGTGCCCGTCTCTTTAATAAGAAGTGTAAGCTCTTTATTTTTAACGCATTCAATAATTAAGCAGAAGAGTCGTTATATTGAAGAAGTCCAAACTATTTCCGGACACAACTTCAATACTTGAACAAACTCCTTACATCCATACACAATGGTAAAGTCTATTTTCACCTTCAGATCATCTTCAATAACCTTCTGAATGACATTCTTTTTGGGGTTTCTCATCTTTTCAGCTCCTATAAAGTGCCCATCTCTCGCCAACTTCTTATAACTATTCTCATGTCTGTCAACCCATTAAAACAACTACCCGAGTGTAATAAACGAATGTTTTCCTCCAAAGAACTGTGTCATTGAGCATTGCTTCTGAGGCTACTTAAGCACTTGGACCAATTTCTTTGAATAACTTGGTGGAATCTGACTTCTTTTTTCAATAATATATTTTATTTCATTTTCAGGTATTTCGTCAAATTGTAATTTGGTAATTCGATTTCTAAACAACATGACAAATGTTTTCTTCCTCCATACGTATTTGGGGGGTTTTGCGTCGCAAACAACATGAACTGTGGATGGGGCTTGACCACCTCTTGCGTCTCAGGGATATACAATTCTTTGTTGAATTCCAAAAGTCTATTCAGTGCTTCCAACACCTCTGAAGGTGCCAAGTTGAGTTCATCAAGTACAATCCAATTTCCCTTTCTCACTGCTTCAACCAATATCCCTTCTTGGAACACCAATTTCCCGTCTTCCGTAGGGACATAACTCCCAAGGTATTCTTGAACGTCTGTTTGTTCATGGTTATTCACTCTAACCATTCTATAAATCGTCGCGTGAGCAAAATATTAGACCAATGAAGTTTTATTAAAGTCGATCAAATAAATTTAAATGTAATAATCTTTAGTTAAATTTATAATTATTTATTACTATTTAATATAATAAAATATAGTAAAAATAATGAGAAAAATTTGAAACTTTAATAAAATAAATTTGAAAAATTTGAAAAATTAAATTTAATATTCAAATTATAAATAACAAATTATTTAATTTTTAACTAACGGTTATAAACAAACGTTTCCAAAATAATAATTGCCGAAAATGTGGTATTATAACGTACGAATTCATAAGAGAAAATGAACATTTTGGTTATTAAATGGTGACGTGGGTTATAAGCATTGTGATTTTGGAAGCCTCTGAAAAATAAGTTTCTAAAAAAATGGGAAATGTGAAATTCAATTTTTAATTTTAAAATGGTATTATAATAAAAAATAATTCTATTTGTATAAGAAAATATAAAAACCAGAAATTTTTTATTTTTTATACATGAAAAACATGAAACTATAAATTTCAATTTACAAAAGTAATGCTTTACTTTGTGACCAACACTTTGCTGTTAATTTTATTAACAACAAAAACCAATGCCGCGACATCATGTAGTAGTGGACATTACCTTTCTGGAACTTCTTGTTATTATTGTAGAGCAGGAACTTATTCCTCGGGTGGTACAACAACATCATGCAGTTTTTGTTCACCTGGCTATTATTCTGGCTCTGGTGCTTCATCGTGTACAAAATGTAATCCTGGATATTATGCTTCAAGCGCCGGGTCGTCGTCATGTACGAATTGTAATCCTGGTAAATATGCTTCAAGTTATGGGTCTGCTTCATGTTCGACTTGTTCAGCGGGAACGTATTCTGGTACTGGTGCTTCTTCGTGCACAAAATGTAGTGCGGGGTATTATTCTGGTAGCGGAGCTTCTTCGTGTTCTGTTTGTTCAGCTGGTACATATTCGTCGTCTGGGTCTTCTACATGCACGAAATGTAATGCTGGATCTTATTCTTCTTCGGGATCGACAAGTTGTAAACTATGTGATGCTGGAACATATTCAAGTAATGATGGAGCATCGTCTTGTAAATTATGTAATGCTGGGTCTTATTCAAATAAAGGAGCAACCACTTGCACTACATGTACTGGTGGGTATTATTCCCAATATTCCGAAAGTGCTTCATGCACGGCGTGTGCTGCAGGAACACGCTCTGAATTCCCAACGTCATCAACAAAATGTGTGACATGTAGTAGAGGAACATATTCGAGCAGCGGAAGTGCTTATTGTAATGATTGTAGAGCAGGAACTTATGCAGATGAACAAGGAAGTTCGTCGTGTAAAACGTGTGCGGATGGATTTTATTCCACATCTGGAAGTTCGACGTGTGTACAATGTATTTCCACAAGTTGTGGAGTGTGTTCAATAACAACGGGGGAGTGCACTTCGTGTAATGTTGGCTATTCGTATGATTCGTCAAATAAGAACTGTTCAATATGTCCCGCATCGTATTATTCGAGTGGTGGAACTTCGTTGTGTTCAAAGTGTGCAACTGGGTATTATTCACTCAGTGGTTCAAGTGGGTGTACAAAGTGTTTGACAAGTTGCAAAACGTGTGACCAAACAAATGGAAATTGTTTATCTTGTTATGACGGTTATTTTATGAATGGTAAAATGTGTGACACATGCTCGGCTGGCACGTACCAAAGTGGTGGAAGTTGTGTAACGTGTGCCGACATGCAATACTCGTTGGCGGGAAGCACAACGTGCAAAAGTTGCAGTTCGACGTGTTTGAGTTGTGATAAGACAAATGGGTATTGTACGTCATGTGAGTCGGGTATGGGAATTACAACAAATACATGTTCTGTTTGCAGTGCTGGTACATACAGTGTTGCAAATAATTGTGAGTATTGTCCACTTGGGACATATTCATCATCACCAAAAAGTTTGCAATGTTCTACATGTGCAGATGGGACTTATGCCAACACAACAGGATCAACAAGTTGCAAAACGTGTAATGTTTTGTGTGAAGGGTTGTGCGAAAGAACAAGTGGCAAGTGTGTAGCCTGTGTGAGTGGTGCTGTTTATTTGAATGGAGTGTGTTCACTGTGCAATTCAGGAACAATGGCAAATCAAACAACAAACAATTGTGACACATGCAAGGCGGGTACTTATGCTGGTGAAGGCTATTCTGAGTGTAAAAGTTGTGGAGAAATGACATACTCAACTGGTGGTTCACCATCTTGTCAGCAATGTGACAGTCATTGTGATGGGTGTGATGCGACGAATGGGTATTGTGTCAACTGTGTGACTGGGTATGGTCTAGCAGCTGGGAAGTGTGCCATATGTCCAAAGGGAACTTACTACATGAGTTCTGTGTGTCAGAGTTGTGGTGATATGGAATACCAAGATGTTGTTGGACAAACCACCTGCAAGTTGTGCGACTTGTCGTGTGCAAGTTGCAATGCAACAAATAGTAAATGTCTCATATGTGCTGCTGGATATGGCTTTGACAGTGGAGTGTGTACATTGTGTGGCGACCTCACATATTCAGAAGGCGGTGTTTTGCAGTGCCAACAATGTTCGACTGAATGTAAAAAGTGTGACAGAAAAAGTGGTGCATGCACATCGTGCGAAGTCGGCAACAAGAGAGTTGACAACAGCTGTGTGTCGTGTGCTCCATCTGGATATTGCGATTTGTGCACAGACGAGACATCAGATGGTATTTGTGTATCATGTGAAGATGGATTTTATTTGAATGAAAGTGCCGACTGTCAACCATGTAGTGATATTCACAACGACTGCCTGGCGTGTTCAAAAATAGCAAAAACGTGTCTCTCATGTGCAGGCAACATGATATCAACTGGCACCAGTTGCGTTGCATGTGAAGTTGGGATGGTCAAAGTCACAGAAACGACATGCGACTACTCGTACAATGTCATCCCAAAGTGTCAGATTGCAGACTATGCCAACAGTCAACACATTTGCACCACATGTTTTGCGCCATATGTCACTTCAAGTGACTTGAAGGCGTGCAATTTGGGATACACAACTACAACATACTACGACACAGATGACCACCAATTACGCACCAACATGGATGGGTGCATCAATCAAATCGATACAATGTGTTACTTGTGTGATAATACAACGATGTTGTTGAACGGTGTTTGTAATGTTAAGCACGAGAAGTGTGGGAAATACTCGCAACACGGCTGTGACAACTGCGTTTCAGATGTGATCACATCAAATGGCAATTGTGTTGTTAACACAAATTGTAAATATGAAATCAACAGAGAAATTGGCACCGAGTGTTTGTATTGTGTTGATGACGTGTTGTGTGGCAAAGCAAAACAAAATTGTGAAACATCACACAACGAGTACTGCTATTTGGCAATCAGTGGATATCACACAACAAACGACAACACCGTTGAACGGTGTGAGAGTGAAGTGTGTGTCATTTCAAATGGAGTTATCACAGATTTGAAATGTCAAGATGACAAATTGTTGATAGATGGTGTGTGTACAACTAATGCGATGTGTATAGTAATGTCGTATGGTGATTGTATCAAGTGTGATGCAAAACAACACATCTCACATGGTATGTGTTCACAAAACAATCCAAATTGTGACAACCAAAATGGAGATATTTGCATCGTGTGTAACAACTCCATCAACGTTGACGGTGTGTGCACAGACACCCAGTCAATTCATTGCAGTTCATTTGACAAAGTGTGTGTCACATGTGAGAGTGGTTATTACAAAGACGTTGATGGCTGCAAAGAGAAGACTGGCGTTTTGTCTTATTGCGATGTTGTCTCGTCACTCAACACCAAATGTGTCGAGTGTGAGTCCGATTACAATTTCAATGGAATTTCGTGTGTGCCACAAACACTTCCAAATGAGACCACCAAACAAACAACTAAAAACGTAGACACACAGACAGACAGCCACTGTGAAGTGAGCACCACAAAGGGGTGTCTGAGGTGCCTCAGTGGGTATTACCTCGCAGACCGGATGTGTGTGAAGTGTGAGTACCCCTGTGTTTACTGCTCAAATCAGACATTCTGCACAAAGTGCGACGATTACTCGTACGCAAACAGCAACGGCGTTTGCACTGAAATCAACGCACTTGTCCGTGTGTGTGACGTGTTGATGTCAACATATCGTGGATGTGTAGTCTGTAAAAATGGGTACATGCGGTCATCTGATGGGACAACATGCATTGGTTGTGATGAGTCGTGCAAGTCGTGCACAAATGAAGGAAACTGTGTTGTGTGCAATGAAGCGTTCTATCGCACCTCATCAAACGTCACCAAATTGTGTTCTCCACAAAGCGAGTTGACTTCGTGTGCAAACAAAACAACAGTTGGTTGTATGCTATGCGAAAGTGGGTATTATCTCTCCAACAATTTGTGTGCAAAATGTCAAGACACGTGTACACAATGTTATGGCATCGATGAGTGCACTGATTGTGTGAAAGACAATGTACTTGTGTCAGGTGTCTGTTCACAATACACAGTCATCGAAAACTGTGTTGAGTCTGCCAACAACAAATGTTCAAAATGTGATGACAACTACAAATTGAGTGACGACATGTTGAGTTGCATTCACACAACAAATTATGGTGTTGTAGTTGGCATTCCAATTGTCTCCGTTTTCATCATAGTACTCATTATCATAGGTATTATTGTAATTACAATTATTGTTTTACAAAAGCGCAAAGAAACAAAGAAAATGGAAAATATCTGTGTTTTTAAGATGAGTCGTTCAAACATCGCAATGAGTGTGTTAGACGGCAACATTTTAACCAACAAAAAGTCGCTGACATTTGATGACACCAGTGAAGTCATTCCCGTTGAGAAAGAGTCTCGCGAACTTCTCTGTGTTGGCAACAAAGGCAAAGGCGTTCTGAAAGTCCAAATCACAACACGTGGCGGCTGCGACAAGTACTCAATTCGCACAGAGCCGCAATTGGTGACTTTGAAGAAAGGC